TTTTTTCAATTTTTAAGGGTAATGTCTTCAACTAGATACGATTTGTGATCTTTTGACGTATTTTTGAAAGAAATCGGTCCAGTGAGAGCTGAGAAAAAGTGGCAACAGACATAAAAAATTATTTTCATAGTAAAATTAATACCTTCTCCGCTTCGCATCGAAGCTAAAATTTCGAAAATTAGCGATTTCTAATATTGTAATATATTTGGAGATTTCCCCTATATACAGGGAACAAAGAAATTTTTTTTAATTTGAAGGGCCATGTCTTCAACTAGATACGATTTGTGATTTTTTGGCGTTTTGTTCATCAAAATCGGTGCAGTGAGAGCTGAGAATAAGTGGTAACAGACACAAAAATTAAAAAAATGAACACATCATAGTAAAATTAATATCTTCTCTGCTTTGCATCGAAGTTGAAACGCTATAATATAAAACCAATACCTTCTGAACTACACATCAATGATAAAATAATTTTTTTATATAACAAAATATTAATTTTACTATGATGTGTTTTTTTTTTTTTTTATGTCTGTTGCCACTTTTTCTCAGCTCTCACTGGACCGATTTCTTTGAAAAATACGTCAAAAGATCACAAATTGTATCTAGTTGAAGACATTACCCTTAAAAATTGAAAAAATTTCCCTCGTTCCCCGTAAATGGGGGAAACCTCCAAAAAAATTACAAATTTAAAAATCGCTAATTTTCGAAATTTTTTCTTAAAACTTCCATAACTTTTTGAAAAATCAACAAATCAACATAATTTTTTTTTATACTAAAATCTTAGATATTTACCTTTCATTTGATATCATTTTTTTGAAAATCTATCACTTAACCTGCTCATTGGGGGGGATTTAAAATAGCAACTTTTTTACAAAAATTAACTTTTTCAACTTAATTTTTGAAAATGTTCCGGAAAGACTGCGTCCTTTAAACATATATCAAATTAAAGCTTATTTTATGTACTACAAAATGAAAAAAAAAAATTTGTCCCGACACTTTTTTTTCTACATTTAAACGGCTGCCGTAGTTAAAAAAACACTATTTTTGTGTTAAAATTTTCGATTTTCGATTTTAAATTTTCAACTTAAAAATGCTATAACTTTTTGAAAAATGTATATATCAGCACAAATTTTTTTTTTCTAAATACATTATAAGTACATCTTTCATTTGACATACTTTTTATTAAAATTGGACAATTTCCCCTTATATAGGGGGCGTTCAAAACTTAAAATATTGTAAAAAACATAGATCTTTTTCAACTGAACTTTTGAAAATGTTCCGGAAATACTGCGTCCTTTAAACATATATGAAATTAATTCTTATTTTATGTACTACAAAATGAAAAAAAAAAATTTGTCCCGACGACCTATCTTCTATACGCAAATGGCTACCGTATTCAAAAAAACACTATTTTTGTGTTAAAATTTTCGATTTTCGATTTTAAATTTTCAACTTAAAAATGCTATAACTTTTTGAAAAATGTATATATCAGCACAAATTTTTTTTTTCTAAATACATTATAAGTACATCTTTCATTTGACATACTTTTTATTAAAATTGGACAATTTCCCCTTATATAGGGGGCGTTCAAAACTTAAAATATTGTAAAAAACATAGATCTTTTTCAACTGAACTTTTGAAAATGTTCCGGAAATACTGCGTCCTTTAAACATATATCAAATCAAAGGTTATGTTATATACTATCAAATGAAAAAAAAAAATTTGTCCCGACATCTTATCTTCTATGTGCAAATGGCTGTCGAAAATTCAAAAAAAAATGTAATGTTTGCGATAAAAATTACATTTTATCGGGATGTTTTTTGTACTTAAAACTGCCATAACTTTTTCAAAAATGAACAAATAAAAATAATATTTTTTTGTATTGAAACCTTAGATATTTCCCTTTCATTTGATATAATTTTTTTTGAAAATCTAACACTTATTCTGCTCACTGGGAGGATTTAAAATAGTAACTTTTTTACAAAAAATAACTTTTTCAACTTAATTTTTGAAAATGTTCCGGAAATACTGCGTCCTTTAAACATATATAAAATTAAAGCTTATTTTATGTACTACAAAATGAAAAAAAAAAATTTGTCCCGACGATCTATCTTCTATACGCAAATGGCTACCATATTGAAAAATATACTATTTTTGTATGATAATTATGGGTTTTGTATTTTATTTTAATAGAAGTTGATGTTGCTTTTGCAATTATCCATCAATTTTTTAAAATTAAACACTATCTACAGATTTGCATCGAAGCGTTTCTTATGATAGTGATTTTAATCACTGTCAGATTAAATCTATACTGGACCCAACTATGCAATGTCTCCACTATGCCGCGACCCCACTGTGCTACCGTTTTTTTTTTATATAACAAAATATATATTGAATTTAAGTGCTTGTATATATGCTTATTTAATAGATTTATGCGTATTAAATTTACATTATAGAATAACTTATTTATTAATATAACTATTTTTTTTTAGTGGTTATTGATTACAAACATAATCCTGATGCTGAAACGGGTTTATTTGAAAAATTCAATCCAGAACAAATAAAACATTTAAAAATAGAAACAAAAAATTTACATAATATCAATACAAATGTTAATGTTTCTCGCAATTACCAAAGTATAAACGAATATGCTGATCAAGAACAAAGTAATCAATTGGTTGAAAATGTAACAAAACACTTGACTGCCATACGATTTCGAAATAGTCTATTCAATGAATATAAGATGAAACACTACCTAGGTCCTAATCGAGATAATTTGTTACTATTGAAGCAAGAGTGCAAGAAAATATCTTTTAAAAATAACTTTAATCAATAAATTTTGTTTGATACCTTTAATATAACCAAAATGTCAACTGGTATAGAATGTACCGATATATGACTTTAAAATCAAAAAATGACAGAAAAGACATTTTAGAAAATAGTATATACTATTCCTCAGGGAAAAATTCATTTGATTAAAAAAATGTATATTTATGGCCAACAGCCTTTGTAAGTCACAGAAAACCCGTTAAATTAAATAACCAAGGCAATTGATATCAGTCTATGTTTAAAAATATCTAAATATTTAATGTAATATAACTTTTTAACATAAATTTTACTATTTAATGAAGTCTTGTATTTAGTGTATATTGGGTCATATAAAAAGTCTTGTGAGTCACTGGTACCAGAAGATTTATATCAGCCAGCATTTAACATTACCCTACCAGCATGTACTACTCTGCCTTTTGCTTTCTAGCCATTCTTTCTATAACTTTCGTAAGGCGAACTATGATAATATCCGTTTATTTATTACATCATTTGATTGGAGTTCTACATTTCTCTTCCATTATCTTGATTCGGCTGTAAATTTTTTTTTGATGCTATGCATAAAGCCGTCATTGATTTTGTTCCTCAATGCTATTATAAAGATTCGTCATATCCTACATGGTTTAATAAAGATCTTAAGAGAACACTGATTCCCAAGAAAAAAGCTCATGCAAGATATAAGTCTGCTTTAAATATGTCGGACTCTAAAGAATTCTCGTTTCTCGCGACTACGTTACGCGTGTTGAACTTATACTTAATGATAATCCTCATGACTTTTGGAAATTTGTAAACAACAAACGTTCTAGTTAAAACCATACCCAAAGTTATGTCATCAAATGGTAAAAGTACTTCTAATAAAGAGGAGATTTCTAATTTGTTATCAAATTATTTTTCTTCTGTTATACTAAAGATCATAATGAGGTTGACATGGAATAATTGGGTATTTTTATGCTGGGTTTACACGTGAATGTTAGTAGTGGTGCCATTATGTAAGCTAGTAAACATGTATCGCCAGCAACTGTTTACATAGGTTCGCACCTAACTCTCGCAAGTTCATTTCGTTCGTTGTTCATTTGCACGACTATTGTAGTTCCTTGTTTCAATTATTATTTAATTTTTTTATTTAATTAACATGTTAACTGAAAAAGAATTATATTTTCATCATGCATGCAAAATAGTATTAAAATTACTAATTGAAGATATCAAATCGGATTTAGAAAAAAAGAGTAAAAAAAAAAAAGGTTAGTCTGGGTAAGAAAGTGGATTGCTAGGAGACAACATTTTGGGGTATCCGATATTCTTTTAAAAGAACTTGCATCAGAAGATCCAGATTCTTTCAAAAACCATTTAAGAATGTCATCAGACCTTTTTGAAACCTTACTGAAATATATTACACCATCAATAGAAAAACAAAAAACAGTTATGAGAGATGCGTTACCAGCAAGATTGAAACTCCAAATCACATTAAGGTATTTAGCATCTGGAGATTCATTTGCTTCTTTGCAATACTCATACAGAGTACCGAAATGCACAATATCTAAATTTTTACCTGAAGAGTGTGATGCTATATACGGTGCGCCCAAAAATTACATAAAAGTAAGTAATTACATGATTTTCAACGCAATTTACTTAACTTTTCAATGAAATACAAAATTTATAAAAACCTTTAAAATAAACAAAATTCCTTAATTTTATAAATATAAACTTTTAAAAATAGTATATTAACAATTAACATTATTTTACTCATTTAACTCATATCCATCATCCTGCAAAATGTTTGTAACTGCCCTCGCTAAAACATAGGATTGATTATTTTGAGAATTTGCATTACTTGAATATTCAAAAGTATTAATTGGTGAACCCGTAGAATATGACGGACTAGAATGGTTGTTATAATAATTTGATGAAGATGGTGAAAACGTTATATTTTTATAGTGATTTTAATAAAAGCTACATGATCTGATATTTCCTTATTTATATCCTGATTAAGACAAAGTATGTCGAATGAAAAAGGCATATAAATATTATTTATCATAAAAAAATTGTGTTGATCCATACACTTTTCAATAAGTTATAGCATTATAAATTTGTAAAATGTAAAAAATAACATCGAGAATTTTCACACAAAAATAGCATTTTGTAGCCATTTTCACCGTGAAGACAAAATGAAGTCCGATTTTTTTTTCCATAATAAAGTACATTACATTAGCTTTAATTTAAGATATATATAAAATTGTCAGACTTTCTGGAACACTTTCACAAGTTAAATTACTATTGTGGAAAACACGATTAGTTGAGGGAGATATGTAAATGTTTTTAAATTTTGATGAATATTTGAAAGAAAAAGACGTTAATCAACACATAGTAATTGTTGTTCAACATCACTTTATATAACTCATAGAATCTTTTGATAGTTATTTACCAAAAAATAAAGATCCTAGACATTAAAATATATGGATCATTGATCTATTTGCTGTAGCAAATAATGAAAATAACAATTTAAGTATGAACGAAAAAAAGCCTCATTGATTTATCATCAGACTCTTCTCTTAAAGCTAAATTCTAGTCATCATAGTTTTGGCTCTACGTAAAAAATGAATATCCCTTGCTAAGTTAAAAAGCAGTAAAAGTTCTCATTCAAATTTTCAACAACATATTTATGCGAAAAAATATTTTCATCATTCACTACTATTAAAACTAGGTACCGGTCTCGACTTGACGTAAGCAGAGCTCTCCGTCTTGTGGTAAGAACATTGAAACCAAAAATGCAAAAATTCATTCAAAATAAGCAAGAGTAAGTATCTATTTGATAAAATGTATAATACTCAAGCTTAATTCTTTTTGTATAAATTGTCAAAATAAAAATAATTCAATTATATTATTTAATACTTGTATTTTAATTTGAATATGGTGTTTGACTAATCATTGGTGTGTATATTGAGAACATAGAGGCACTGTTGTTCTCCCTCTCTTGAATTGTGTGAAAAATTTGGTTATATGATAAGGTATGACAGATTCTGGGCCCTTAACTTCTAAAATCTAAATTCTAAACTCTAAAGTATTAGTGGTCCGTAAAATTTTGAAATTAGGATTTAGTGGTTCGTGAGTTCCAAAAGATTGACGATCGCTGTTTTAGATTTCAATGATTGATCTATTCATAATTTTCTTAAAAAAATATAATAAAATAGCTAATATTCTAATAAAAGCAGTTAAAAGGGGAAAACATGGCAAACATGACAAAGTAGACGATAACATAAAGGACGGTATTATGAAACATATTTCTTCAATACCAAAAATTGAAAGTCACTATGTAAGAGCAGATATTTCAAAATATTTTATTGGTAGGAGTAGGTCTATTGCTGATATTATGTGGACTATGTGGCTGATTTTAAGGATAAAAATTATGACGGATATGTATTGTTTTATCGTATTTTCACTCAAGAATTTAATATTTCATTTTTTCAAGCAAATAAAGACTTGTGTGATACATGTGTAGCTTATAACAATGCAATAGGTGAAGACAAAAATGAGTTGAAAAATAATTATAAAGAACACTTGGTAGAAAAAGATTTGTCAAATTTGAGAAACTTATTGATAAAGAAAAGTCAAATTTAATTTTAGTTGTTAATAATTTACAAGCTGTGATGACACTGCCAAAAGGAGATGTTTCTACATTTTATTACTGGTCAAAGTTAAATGTTCTTAATTTTACTATTTATGACATGCAGAAAACTATTGCTAATTGCTATATATGGGATGAATCAAATGGTCAGAGGTGTTAATGATTTGGGAACTTGTATATGGAAATATTTGGAAATTAAATCCTATAAAAATGAAGGTGATTCAATTCACACCTTAATAGAGAGACAATGTAAAAAACAGTTAAAAAGTTGGCTTATTTATACTCCAGAAGCCTTTATTTCAATAATTCGTACTGCTAAAAAAACTGGAGAACCGTATCGCGTTCATGAATTATACTCCAAAGATATTATAAATATCACAATGAATTAAGCAGTGAAGTTAGGAATATAAAAATTGTAAAAGTTGAGAAGCAATTTCCATCATCCATTTTTTATAAAACATCATACTCTCAAGCAGAATTCAAAGAATTTTCTGTAAAACCAGGCATCTTAGAAAAGAAAAAAGAAGACTTACTATACTTAGTTAAGAAAAATTTCATATCAAACTTTTATAAAACATATTATGAACAATTATAAATGTTCTGTGATATTATAATATTAATCTAATATGTTAATTCATCTATTAGTCTAAATATTATGTTTTTATTATTTAGATATTGTGATGTTATGTTCCTAAACTAAAAGGTTTTGTTATGTTATACATTAATATTAATAGTTACACAATAATGTCATAACTACAAATAATACATTAAATTAGGTACAAACTAAAATTAAAACTGCTGTCACCAGTGAAATAGAAGTTAAAAATATCCGTAGTACGGGAAGGTGAGGAAAATTTCGCTGTCTCTTTTAAAAAAAATTCAAAATTTATGAAGTTAATATAAAATGTCAGCAGTATTTTCTTACCTTTTAAAAAGTTAACCCGGTTTTGATCTTGAGCCGGGGAGCCAGTTGTTATGTTACAATTTGATGAGGAATAAAATAAGTAACACCGGTTGATTTACTACTTGGCGTGGAGCCGTTTAATAAGAGAAATGAAAACAAGAATTGTAGCACGAGAAAACTATAGTCGAACAAAGAAAAATAACAGTAATACTTTTTAGAAACCGTCGACAGAATAATAACAGTTAACCGAATTTGCGGTGGCGTTTTGGTTGGTTCGGTAGACGATGTATCCAAAGTGATAGGTGTCACGGAGATGACTGACTCGACGTATTATTGCGGCGGGGTATTCGACGCTAGGTATTTGTTGGACGACTTTACACCATGACGATAACGCGTGTGTGACGGTCCGGTTTGCAGTGAAACGGTGGCTGACAAGGAGCTGATACGACCGCGGGGTGTCAAACGTGTGACAACGCCACGGCCGTGTCAAACTTACGTCGCAAAAATGTGGTCGACACTGGTTTTGAGGGTAGAGACCCGTGGGTCGTTTATTAAATGAGCGATAACACATTATTTTAATAAAAATAAAACAAACCGAAAAGATAAACACAGTAATAATAATCTTCGCATAATATCGCGGCACTTTCGCTGGCGTCGACGACGCGATGTCCAGCGTAATCCTTGGACGGCAAATGGTTAGCAGTGTTGTAGGCGACGGTGCGAGGTTTCGGATCGGTTGGTCGACGTTGTCGCTTTCACAACGGGAGGAAGACTCACGCATCATTTGCGGCGGGTCGTCGTCGGCCGTGCGGCATTTGCTGGACCTTGCACCGTAGCGTATAACACGCGGTGTTGGTCAGTCAAATACTCATAGTAGGGCGACGGCTGATAAAGGTGGCACGAATCGCGTGGCATCGTGTACAACGAAACTACGCGGGCCGTGTCATGTTTTTGTATTATTTTTTTTTTAAATAATTTATACAATAAAAACTTATTTTTATTATTTACATTATTTATTTTATAAATGATTTTCCAAAGAATAGAATTCCTAAAAAGGTGTGACGTAATAAACGCCCAAACGGTAGTGTGAACGCAGCGTATACCGATGACTTATATACGGTGCGTTCAATATCCCACGCAACGGAGGAGATAGGCGAAGTGAGACAAAGTTTACGCGATATATCTCTTAATATACGTATGGATGCGCGCATGTCTGAAGTGGAGAGAGCACTGTCTCGCATTACGCAAGAAATACGATCTCTCTCACAAACGATTGTAAGCCGCGATACACACAACGAGACTATACGTAATCCGTTCGCCCCGCACAGATGACGCGAGAAACGGCGGAAACCAACCGTCCTACTTACGCGCGTCTGTCCGAACCGAGCCGCGTAACTTTTGGGCCCAGCAACACGACTCAAAATGACGCGGCCCTACAACAGCGCCTGACTGAAATCGAGGAGCGCGAAGCGCTTAACCTACAGCGATTAGCCAGTCAGACTCCGCGCACGTTACCGTCGCTTCTTCGAGCGAACACGCACGACGCGGTTTTCAATTTAGACGCGCGCCAACATCACACGGGGCAATTCGAGCCGAACACATTCGCGCCACCGACACGCGATTTGTCCCCTTCATCATCGACCCGTTCGCACACGCACATGGCGATCGGGCCACTTAATTATTCGCCTATTGTACGACCCCCTTCCCCCGAGTTTACGGGAAAATATGAGGAGGACCCACGCGAGTTTCTAGAACAGGTAGAAAACCTATTGGCCCAAGCAGGCATAGATCGCGATTTATGGGTAAAAACGGGCGTCCAATTTTTAAAGGGCATGGCATTAACTTGGTGGGAAACCATCAAGTTAAACAACATGTCCTGGCGACAATTTGCGAGGGAATTTCTCACGACGTTCGATAACAACAGCATACAAGCTGAATTAGAAAACGAACTCATGACGACGCAACAGGGGCCACATCAGCGCATGACTGAATTTATCATAAATAAACAACGTCTAGCGATGCGCGCTCGCCCCAGTTGCTCTGAGCAGCACATTGTAGATCGGGTAGTCAGTTATTTACGTAACGAATATTACGGTAATGTAAGAATGCGATGTCCGCGTACTTTAGATGACTTACGCGTAATCGCGAACGATCTCGACCGACCAATACATACGGGTAGACTTATCAATAACGCTAATCCGTACGTGGCTGCTGTATCACCCTCGCAACAACTTCAAAGAACGCGAACTCGGCCAAACACACCGCCTGATCCGCGTCCTCCCCGACCCTGTCAATTTTGCGGAGTCCATCACTGGCAAAGCGAATGTCCTTATAGACCGACAGTGCCGGGAAACGGACAGCAGCCACGGAGAAACTAGTCCATTCTCCGGGCTCATAAACACAATTCCGCTCAAAACATTATCGCATTAATCAGCGCGCCAAACAAACCGCTCGTTCAATCGACAAAGGTAACAAAAACGGATGCGCTGTCTGCGATCACGGTGGCAATATTTTAAATAACCTGAAAATCAACCACACTCCTTTCACATCAACTTCACCAACACACCTACAGCCCCACTGTCAATATAGTGGGCACGCTGTAATACCACACCTCACCACCACCACACCCGTCAACCACAATGATGACAACAAGGTTATTCAAAATACTCGTCACACGAGCGTAGAGCTTCTAGGTAACGACGATAGCGCGAGTCGGGCCAACGATATGTTGGTCACCGTGGGGGAGGGGAATACGGCAGGAACGGCCTACCCGCTTATGGCAATTAATACTGCCGGCGAACAAATCGTTTCTACGCTTCCCGTTCGAACCGCTAACCACCTGAGTATTGCCGCACAAAAACACTAGCGTAAAATAACTACTCCCGCTGTGGAGCTGGAATTTGACAACATCTTTGTGACGGCCTTATTTGACTCTCAAGCGCAAAAATCGTATACCACTCGAGCAACAGCTCACAAATTCGGAATTGTGCACAACGGACAAACACCCCCAGTTAGATTAGCTGACGGCCACACAACAGACACTGCCGGCACAGCCACTTTTATAACAAAAATTGCGGATCTATAAGTAAAGTTCACAGCTGTTATCTTAGAGAATCTGTACTGTGACGTACTTCTGGGACACGACTTTCTAACAGAACAGGAAGTCTCCTGGGACTACGCTGCATGTACAATTCACTTGGGGGCGACGCTACGCACTTCAGCTTGTTGGAAAGCGAGTACTCGGCACACGCTACCCGACGTAGATCTATCAACACTAGGTATAGCAGGCGACCCACACACACATGCATTATTAATGAGCACGATAAAAAATTATTCTGTAGTTTTTAACGACACGGTAGGTCACACAAAGCTTATCGAACACAACATCGTTCTAAAAGACCCGACGCCTATCGCGCAAAAACCATATCCATACCCGCTACACAAACAACAAGCCATAGACGAAATGGTAAGCGACATGGAATCACAAGGGCTCATAGAACCCAGCACTTCTCCTTGGTCAGCACCAGTCGTGCTGGCCAAGAAAAAAGACGACTCATATCGCTTATGTGTCCACTATAGGCGATTTAACGATGTGACCGTATCAGACGCGTATCCCATGCCTAATCTAAACGAAATAATTAAAAGCATGAGGGGGGCGAAAGTTTTCACGTCACTCGATTTAAAATCGGGTTACTGGTAATGCTCTTTACAGCAAAACGTACGCGAATACACAGCGTTCAGAACGAAAAAGGGCTTATTTCAGTTTCGTGTATTTCCGTTCGGACTTAAGAATGCACCCATGACCTTCGTACGTTTAATGAACGAAGTACTTAGGGGGTAGACTTCGTTCAAAAGATTCGATCGTCCGGAATTGGCCGCACGGGAACGAATCCCGGGGCGGCTCATCCGTCTCCACGCCGTGGAGCCAACCACTCCATCTAGCGAATTCTGATTGGGTCAGCGGCATGTCGTCGCGAAAACGATCACGCACGCCTTCCCAATCTTCCACCATCTCCTCGATGGTAGCAAGGCCACCAGCAGTTACCTCAGTGACCCGAAGGTCACTGGAGGGTGCCTGCTTGGCACACCCTCCGACAGTTGCTTGGGCGCGAACGCCCCCTGGACCCTGCCTCACCAGTCCAACGGCTACGATGCAGTCGCTTGATGACGACCGGGTCGAGCCTGCAACAGCACTCTTCCCAGCCGGCCCTGGAGTCTCCGAAACTCCTGGAACGGTAACTGTATTTTTCAAATGGTGTCCTTCCATGTTTGGTTTTACGGGTGTCCTTCCCTGCGTTTTACCTGCCGCCAGGGGATTTGTTTTCGGTGTTACCTTCACCTAGGTGGTTGCCTTACCAGGCTATCGGGCCCACCCGCCCGTTATGAAATTACCCTCGATCGCTACCGCTTATTCGTCCACTCTAGGAGTGGCTTATATCACGGCTACCCTACATATCTGCAGGGTTAACGAGCGAACGAGGGGCTCGCTGTTCCCGACCGCTTATTCGTCAGTACAAATTAATGAACTGCTTATTTCGCGGCTAACCTGCACATCTGCAGGCCGTTCCTCTATCTGCAACCTGAGGACGCGCCCGATTCCTCGAGCTAGGGACACTGCGCTCGTGCCGACGTTTCGTAGCCCTGTAGAGCCCGATCACGCCGACACTGTAGCGCAGCGAAACGGGAGAAGCACCAGCCTGGCCTTCTTCCACATCGTGGGGAATTCACCCTCCGAGAGGCAGCGGTTCGCGACGGCGCGTATCCAGTCCGGGGCGAGGTCGTGGACCAACCCCCACACCCGGTTTGGAATCGCTTCGGGGCCGGGAGCTGTGTTCCGGCCCCGCACACGCGCAACCGCGTCAGCTACCTCTTGGCTGGTGAATTTCACCACCGACAAGTCGTCCCCGAACACCGGGGGTGGCAGGGACAGATGTGTCGGAAAGAGCGAGTCTACCGCCCTTTCCAGCACTTCCGCTTCCAGCTGACCGGAAGCCGGTGGACCGCGGAGCTTCCGCATAACGACCCGATAGGGTTTCCCCACGGGTCATGGTTCACCGACTTCACGAGTTCAGCCCAGCATTTCGCTTTGGCCCGCCTGATGGCGACCTTCAGCTCTTTGCGGGCCGACCTCAGCACATCCCTCGGGTCCCGCGGCCAACGGTTGGAGCGTGTCAAGGTCCTCCTGACCCTGACGCACTCCTCACGATTGGCCGCCTCTTCGGCATTCCACCAGTGGACTGGCGGTCCGCGAGTCGACGGCGATCGTGTTACCTTAACTGACACCTTAACTGGTCGTTTTCTTTGTGGTTCTATTTTTTATTCGTTGTCTTGCAATCTTGTATTACATACGTATATATAGGTACTTGTTATGTATATCTATATATGTAGTTTGTACCTTTAATATATTTATCTTGTGCGGCCTTTCGAATTGTGTAGATATATACATACATAATAACTACTAATAAGTTTATATATATATATATATATATATACATCGTTGTGTTGATACATCACCTGTGCGACCGTACTTTTATTGGACTACGTGTTATATTATTTTATTATATTTTAGGTTTTAGCTTCGATGCAAACCTGAGAAGATATTTTTTTGTGACTATCATTTATTTTCTCTGTTCTAACTTAACCTACTTTTTTTAACGATACGTCAAATGATTATAATTCGTATATAGTTGAAGATATTACACATGTTCTCCATACAGACAATTAAAATTATTCATTTCTAATGTTTCAAAGTATTTATTGACGAATTAAGTTCTGTATAATAGGTTCAACTACAAAATTAAATCATTTTACTCTGTAATTTAATAATTTTTTTGACTCTATTTGTGTGAGCTTTTCTGATAAATTTACTATAACTAGTAATTATAAAACTTCATAATAATCTTAATGATTTCTTTTAAGTTCTTATATGCATTATAAACTGATTTATAAAAATGTACCAGTAATTGTTTAGGGGCCGTTCATAAAATACGTCACGCTATAATCAGCTTTTTCTGACCCCCTCCCATCATTGTCACGCTGTGTCACACTTTCTGTAACCTCCCTGGAAATATTTTATCACAAAAACATAGCCCCCCCCCCGCTGAATATAATAAATTTCATTTGATAGTACACAAATTTTTAGAATTTAAAATATTTATTTAGTTTTTATAATAAAATTTAAATGAAATCAATAAATATCATCTAAAACGAAAAAATAAATAATATTTATATTAATTATAATGTTGCAGAATTTTTACTAGTTTTTGTTAAATAAATCTTGTCAATTAGATGTGTGTGCAGTAGGTGTAAAGTATTTTAATAGTTGTGTATATGATAACCTCCACTAGTCATCCGGTCTGATATTTGTCATTCTATCGTCATCAGCTGACTGTACACTGTGCACTTGTCCAATATCGTTATTTCCCCTCAATGAACGTGTTCAAAGTTGGCACTGGGTGGTGGTACCCGGCGACACAATCACCGGCCGCTATACAAATGCCGCTACAACGGATTCTTTTTTTTTCCCAACCAAACTACCGAGGCGACAAGTTGTCTGTCCGTATTGTTTTTTGAAAACCACGTTTTTTTTTTTTTTTACATTCATTTTTTTGTCCACCGTTTTTTTTATAAAAATAAACGTCGAGTCGACCTGCCGTCTACTTGTGGTGTCAACCAGGCTGTATATTTTTTTTTGTCCTCCGTTTTTTTTTTTTATTAAAACGTTGAGATGCCAATGATGATAATGATGTGAGGCACAACTATGGATGATCACTCCTCAAGAAACAACCAACGACAAGTATCAATAAAACTCCCCCTTTGTACCCTTTGACAATGTTGCGTATATAGCACCTCTTTCTTCTTTTTTTTTTTATTTTTTCCTTATGAATATATATATAACGATATTTATAAATCTTCAATAATTAAATAATATAAAAATGTTATTATAGTATACATGGCCTGTTTTTTTTCTCTCTATACTTTCCCTCATTTTTCTTAATTTTTTGTTTTATTTTATCAAAACCAGTAGCTATGTCAACAAGTACTATCTTGCTTGGCGCGGCTACTAGGTCACTGTCCAGTGTTCCCTCTGGGCAGTGGGTAAATAGTAGGCCCTCTTTTTTGGCTGTAACCTTACATAATCAAAAGTCCAAGGATTCTGTAAATGCGCCGAAATATCTATCGGTATCGCAGCATCTTCAAAACTATCTGCTACTTCATCGTCATCTATCCATTCTGAATTTTCCGTACCAGCGTTTTCATCTCCTAATATGCATAATAGCTCTCGAACTCGCTGAACTGCGATGCGAGTTGGTTGTATACGCCGAACTATTTTATCTTCATTTAAATTTTTTTCATTTTAATTAGAAATCCGTTTGAAAGTAAAATTCTCAAACTACTTCTAGTTACAGCAGTCTTTGTTTAAGCATTTTAAAATTTGCAATAAGTATTGTGATTCAGGAACATGTTTACAGTACGTGTCTGTCAACGTGTACGGCTTGGAACGAGACGACGTTAAGATGAAGTGGTTGGTGTATCCGCTAAGAGTTGCCGACCAAGAACAACAGGATCATTTTGACCTATTGTATATTGGCGACTCTGAAAAATCACATTACGCGTACATTTCAGATTTTTCTAAGCTTGTTCGTAAACATAAAACCAGACACCAAGGTCGCATATACACTTGCAAACGTTGCTTCACCTGCTTTGATGATCAGGCTAAAAAGCATATTCTTCGGGGTCAACAAGCGTTGGAGCAACACAAATTGATATGCGGCAAAAATAAACCAATTTTACCTGTTATGCCGGCAGAGGGCAGTAAGGTCGAATTTGAAGCGTGGGTAAAGACGCAACGGTTACCGTTCGTCATCTACGCCGATTTTGAGGCCTTACTGGAGAAAACAGACGATCGTATGGGTGCATACACCAGGACTGTGCACACCCACCATCCCATGAGCTATGGGTTCATGGTGAAAACATCGGACGATGTACCCTCCGAGCTCCTCGAACGCTACGGTATTCCACAATCACCGGTGATATACCGTGGCTCCAAGGATCNGGATATACCGTGGGTCCGAGGATCGCGAAGAGGTCGCTAAGGCATTCGTGATGGCTGTAACTGAAGTGACGCGCAACATTTCTAAATTGTTGCGCAAAACCAACGTTCCCATCCGAATGTCTGTCGATGATGTGCGCAGGCACGGGGAGAAAGTGGTATGCGACTTATGCCGTACAGCATTCAAGGATTCCAACCCTAAAGTCGCAGACCACTGCCATTTATCGGGGCGATTCAGACAGACGTTGTGCAATGCATGTAACCTAAAAGTGAAGACGGTCAACTTTGTGCCGTGCTTCTTACACAATCTATCAGGTTACGATGCGCATTTCANTAATCTTTCAGGTTACGACGCGCATTTCATAGTCACTGAATTGGGGTACGACGACCAAAGGATTTCGGTCATACCGAATTCCGAGGAGAAGTATATTTCAGTCACGAAATACGTAACCAATTACTTTTCCATACGGTTCGTCGACACCTTCCGGTTCATGGCCTCCTCCCTGTCCACCTTGGCCGGTAACCTAATGACGCCTGATTTCGTTAAATTTCGGGAAACGGCCAAGGTGTTCCGCCTGGAAGACATGTCGTTGGTGACGCGTAAGGGCGTATACCCCTACGAGTACACTGATAGTTGGATTAAATTGGACGAAACGGAACTACCGCCTCATGACGCTTTCTATAGTCAGTTAAGTGAGTCGAATATCGATGATGATGACTATAGACATGCCACGGAGGTGTGGAACCGTTTCGGCTGCTCAACCCTCGGTGAGTACAGCGACCTATACCTTAAGATCGACGTGTTGTTGTTCGGTGATGTGTTTGAGAACTTCCGCGACATCTGTATTTCAACATACAATTTGGACCCGGCGCACTATTACACCGCGCCTGGTTTTAGCTTCGATTGTATGTTGAAATACACCAGGATGAAGCTGGAGCTCTTGAACGACTACGACATGCTACTGATGGTGGAACAGGGCATTCGTGGTGGGTTAGTGCAGGCTGTCAAGCACTATGCAAAGGCCAACAATCCTAAGACACCCGATTACGATCCGTCAAAACCAGACTCATGGATCGTGTATCAAGACTGTAAGTAATCTATACGTATATATAAACGCGTAATAATTGAGCGATGGTTTAAAAACGTTTAATGTATACAGGCAATAACCTTTACGGGTGGGCTATGAGTCAGCCCATACCGTACGGTGGCTTCCGGTGGTATAAAGGAGCAGACTTTCTGGCTGACCTCCAATCGTTGTCGGACACTGGTAATACAGGGCGTATATATGAAGTGGATGTTTCGTATCCACAAAAGCTGCATGACGAGTACAACGATTTGCCGTTCTTGCCTGGCAATGATGTACCACCGGGTTCCAAAGAGACCAAACTCATGGCCACTTTGAAACCCAAACAACGGTACGTCGTACACTATGTCAACTTAAAACAGGCAATCGCACACGGACTGCAAGTCGATAAAGTATGTGTAATTAATCTATAAACTATAAGCGATGATACTAATATAAATATTTGTACTGCAGGTGCACCGCGTTTTAGAGTTTCAACAAAGTGCTTGGTTGAAACCATACATTGAGTTGAACACTGAAATGCGGAAANATACATTGAGTGGAACACTGAAATGCGGAAACAGGCAGCAAATGCTTTTGAAATAGCATTTTTCAAACTAATGAATAATGCCGTCTTTGGTAAGTGCATGCTCAATGCTAAAGCAGTTGTGGGTTATTCGATAATTTTTTACATTTTATAGGGAAAACCATGGAGAACATGCGGAAACGCATCCGTATTGAGCTAATCTCCAGTCCCGAACGTCTAAGCAAGCTCGTAAACCAACCAACCTTCAACGACTGTATCAAATACGGTGAAATGTTGTGCGCTGTCATAATGAACACAAAGATTGTCCAGTTTATCAAACCAATATACATCGGTTTAGCAGTGCTTGACATTAGCAAGACGCTAATGTACAAGTACTTCTATGACGTATTGAAACCGCATTATGGCAACGCAATCGAATTGGTTTACATGGATACTGGTGAGTACAACCGCACAAAATAGAAATATTTTAAAATTTAGAAATTATTTAGTAGAAATATTTTTTATAATATTTATATATTTTTCATTTTTCTCAGACTCCTTCATATACCTGCTCAGAGTCGGCGACTTCTATCAGGATTTAGCTGATAGCCCCGATTTACTGGTGCACGTGGACGCATCTAGCCTGCCCAAGGATCACTCTTGCTACTCGACCGATAGAAAGAAGATGCCCGGCCTGTTTTCAGACGAAACCGGTGGCCTTACCCTCTTTGAGATCGCTGCACTTCGATCAAAGTGCTACGCATATGACATGGAAGGCAGCGAACTAATCAAGTCTAAGGGGATCCGCGGGCACGTCGTCCGGAACCATCTGTCTTTGGACGATTACAAACGATGTTTGTTCGAAGACGATGGCGATGGCGACGATGTGTCAAAACGAGCATTGGCTGGAGAGAATGCCCGTGTGGTCATCGGAGCTGTACGCGATGGTGAGACTCTACCGACATTATCGCTGCCATATACTCCGTACCGACAGAACGTGTCAATCCGTTCGTTCGAGCACGAAGTACGCACTTTACGTACAACCAAGTTGGCGCTTAACCGTATCGACGATAAGCGCTATACGCTCGAAAACAGGATCGACACGTTGGCTCACGGGCATTATGCTATAACCACCACCACAGGGAGGTTAATACAAATATAGTAGTATTTAAGTGATTCTCGTTGGAAAAAAATATTGTTAAAATTAAATATTGAAATCATAATTTGTAAAAATATGTGTACTAGTATAAATAGTTTTAAGATTTTTTTTGTTAAATAATTGTAAATAAATGTTAGTAATACACATGTAATCGTATATAGTTTTAAAATGTAACATAAAAAAAAAAAAGTAAATATACTTATATTTTTAATTATTAAATGAAAAAAACTCGTGTTGTATTTGTAATTGTCTATTTATTTAACTAAATGTTTTATTACAATAATGAAAAAATATTTTATAATAATAAATATCAAAAAAAAAAAAAATTATAGGCATTTTATATAATATCGATTGAATCTATCCATTTATCATGTGAATTATCCAAACCAACAAATTTAACAAAACATTTGTCTTTATTCTTCTTAATGATCTTTTCCACTAAATAAACTTCTGGAAACTGAGTCTTGCTAAGTTCGTGCTCATAGAAACAACCATTTATAGGTCTGTTGTTTTCATCTGTCAGTTCGTACACGACAGGTTTTGTATCACGAATTTTTGCGATTGTAAAGACTTCCGATATCCAATTTTGTGTGTATCCTTTTGAAAATACTGCTTTATGTTTACTCAGACGAACTTTATCTCCAATATTAAACTTTTTATTATATTTTAAAATAGGTAGCCGTTTAAAACTGACATTTCCAGGATTACGTGATGCTATACTAGGAGTTGTTCCTATGGCGCTATGTTTTGTATTATTGTAATTTGTTATTAAATCTGCTATAATGTTTATCCAACTATACGATCTATTGGTAGTAAATTTTTTCCACATTTTTTCTTTAAGTGTTCTATTAAATCGTTCCACAACAGCCGCTTTCATTGTAGAGTAGGTTGAATAATGNACCGCTTTCATTGTAGAATAGGTTGAATAATGATTTATATTTTTGTTCTTCATGAGCATCCGCAAATGTTTCTTGAAAAATTCTAAACCTCGGTCTGTATGCAAGTTTTTTTGAGATCTATTAATATATATAAGACTTTTTCAAAAGCCGACTTGACTTCTGTACTAGATTTATTTTTTAAAGGCACAGCCCACGCATATTTTGTATAATTATCGATTATCGTTAAAATAAATGTAAAATTTTTATTTTTTGTAGAGTATTTTTTCATATCTACTAAATCTGCTTGCCACAAGTCATCTTTGACATACGATACAACTCTTCCTCTAGGAAATATTTTTCTAGCCGGTCTATGTAATTCATTTGCTACTTTCTCTGCTACTTTACTCATGATATTACACCTAGTTCTCGTAACTCTTCTTCTATTGACAGTATTTCGTTTCCCACACCTGTATTTCCAGCACTTCTTGCAGCGTGTAAAAGTTCTAATCGAACTATGAGTTCATTAGGATCGTTCCAATATACGTATTCTTTAGGTCTTTTGTTTAAAATTTTGTAGGTTAACACACCACTGCCTGTTTTCGGAGGAAACAAGTTACTAATGATGNTTGTAGGTTAACACACCACTGCCTGTTTTAGGAAGAAACAAGTTACTAATGATGAATTTATATTTATAACCTACATTACATTTCAATTTTCCATCTCGACCTAAATGGGCATTAGTGTAAAGTAGTAAAATTTTATAATCCGATAAATCCATTTTATTGAATGAACCAACTGCAGGTTTACTTTTAAATAATAATTGATAAAGCCCGTAACTTAGTGGTCGTGGTGCTAATGTCCCAACTTTAATAGTTGAAAAATCATCGGTTATTTTAACCGTAGTATTACCCATGATAAAATCATTATCTTTCACATATTTTAAACCGTAAACCGGGTCCATTTCTAACAACCACTTTGAAAAATCTTCTCGCTGCATTTCACTAGAAAACGAGCGTTTAGGCTTATCGATATTTGCCGTCTTTATTTCTTCCTGAGATATAGAAGGTTCATTTTTTATTGAACTTTCCATCTTTATTTCCTCTTCCTGATATGTAGAGGGTTCGCTAGAGCTCTGTATCATATCATTTTCTTCGGGTGTTAAGGATGTAATTGGATCAGTTTTTACTATAGGACGGGCTTTTCCTAAATGACGAAACATAGACTTTCTATGCTTTTGCTTTTCTTCCATTTCAACACGATTTTGATTAGCTATTTCTTGAAGAGGTGTCACCAGCGGTGACATATGTGTACGTACAAAATTTTCCGATTTCTCAACATTTCTATGAATTAACTGTATTTTATTTTTTATGTTTTGTTTAGAGCGTATGATTTCTTTCAACACTTTATCCGACATCTTGATATTAACTAAACATATAGCAGTATGAGTCGTCTTTTTATACTCGCGTCATTTTTATGAATATATCAAGCCCACATCGATATCGACCATTGTTGAGGTCATCATCTTTCACTATAGTAATGAAACTATATCGTCCTTTATTCCAACATTGTGAACACATTGCTTTGAATTCATTAAAACTCATATCACTGGAACAATGATCTTCATAAACGTGTTTGAGATTTGTTTCATCTTGTTTGTACAGTATAATCATATTAGTGTTATCTCTTATCAGTTGTTTTGGAATTTTAGAATACGTCTGTGTTAGGTAAAAACTATCAACACCATTGTGTCGCCCTCGGCAAAAATAAGATGTCATATGAATTTGTTTTTCACAAATCACATCATCGAATACAAATACAGAGTTTGCTTCTAATTTTTCGGGTGGTGGCACGTCTTCACTGCTGGTGAACATGGATAATTTTACCACATTATCCATAATCTCACCTAATAATTTATATTTATACTGATCCGGGGTTTTCGTGTAAACGTATAGGTGCTCGAACCGCAAACCATTTTCCTCAGTTAAAAATTTAAACATAACATTTGTTTTACCACAATTTGATGGTCCACATATTATACATCTTATTGTGTTGGGTAACAGTGGTCCATGTTTAGACTCGATGGGGTCTGTAAGATCCACGACATTATCGACTGATAGAGTATGTTTCTGTTTCTCAAAAAACATTATTAGCGCACGTTATTACTCGTCAAACGAATGAGTATAAATGATGAAAAACTCAAAAAACCTTTACAGTTATAAATTGAAAATGGTGCGAACAAGACGTGCGACAAAGCGAAGTGTAGGACGCGNCAAGACGTGCGACGAAGCGAAGTGTAGGACGCGGTATTGTTAATTCAATAATTAATCGATTGCCNATGGTATTGTTAATTCAATAATTAATCGATTGCCCATTGAAATGCATGTCCCAGGGTATCAGTATTGCGGACCAGGCACAAAACATAATAAAAGATTAGCACGTGGTGATCCTGGAATAAATAAACTCGATGCAGCGTGTCGTGACCATGATATTGCGTATGCAAAAACAAATGATTTATCGCAACGGCATTTGGCTGATTACGAGTTGGAAAAACGTGCTTGGGACCGCGTAAAAGCAAACGATAGTTCATTTGGAGAAAAGGCTGTTGCGTATGCTGTTACAAATACCATGAAAGCTAAAAGAAAGATTGGAATGGGTTTTGGTGGTGTACTACGAGTTGGACGTAAAGCTATGCGTAATTCAAAAGATATTAACAGTGCGGCAAACTTGGCATTAGCGGCAGCTCGTGTTGCTGTAAAGGGAAAACAAAAATTTAAAACACCTCGCACTATCAAAGTACCTAAATTTGGAGGTGTGCTGCCACTCATTCCTATTTTTGCTGGACTTTCAGCTTTAGGATCGTTGGCTNACTGGACTTTCAGCTTTAGGATCATTGGCTGGTGGAGTATCAAGTATTGTAAGAGCTGCACACGAAGTCAGAAAAAACGTTAATTCGAATAAACCAGTGAAAATCGGTAATGCATTATACTTGCATCCATATGCTGGGAAAAAGAAGGGTGGTGGATTCTATTTGAAACATCAAAAAAACTAGCATTGACACTACCCAAGCGACGTGCACTCAGCGATTTAGATATTATAAAATATGCTGAGTCATTCGGAATCAGTCATTTCCGCGGTGTCTTTTCGAGAGATAAGTTGCCTGTCAAGCCCAAAATATACGAGAGTGCAGTTGTTAATTTGGACATTGACCGCGGGAAAGGAACGCATTGGGTAGCATATTTTAAGAAAAACAAGGACGTGGTGTATTTTGACTCTTTTGGAAATTTACCTCCTCCGCTGGAACTTGAAAAATATTTCACCGGATTGCCCGTGAAATACAACTATAATCAGAAACAAAAATATAACACAAACGTTTGTGGTCAGCTGTGTTNGAATACAATTATAATCAGAAACAAAAATATAACACAAACGTTTGTGGTCAGCTGTGTTTAAAATTTTTAAAATCACAATGATCAAATCTCTGACACTTATGCTGCATGATACAACGTCGGAAGTCACATCAAGTTTTTTTCCACCGATAGAATTCACTGGAGCACCAGAGGTTGCGTTGTTGGGATTTTACGGATGTAATTCAATACCTAATATTGACAAGTCAAACAATACATTCACTTTGATAAATACAAATAACGAGCTTCTTGAAAATAACATAGAAATTAAAGTGCCTGAAGGCACTTATNGAACATAGAAATTAAAGTGCCGAAGGCACTTATGAACTTGAAGACATTAGTAAATATCTAGAAGAACGTCTTCAGTCGTATAAAATCTCATTCATGTTGAAGGCTAATAAAAACACTTTAAAATCAGAATTAAAGTGTAGCCGACAGATAGATTTTAGCGTTGAAAATAGTATAGGTGGTATTTTAGGCTTTCATCGAAAAATACTCGACGCAAATAAAATACATATATCGGATCAAGTTGCTAACATAAATAATTTAACTAGTATAAAAATAAATTGTAACGCTGCTTATGGCGCATTTGACAACGGAATTCCTAGTCATACGGTTCACGAGTTTAATCCAGGAGTGGCAGCTGGTTACCGTATTGTTGAAAATCCTAAAAATTTGATATACTATCCATTAATATCCAATCAACTATACTCTATAACAGTGAAAATAACAGATCAAGACGATAAAGCGATTAACTTTAGAGGTGAGCCTGTTACCATACGTTTACATATACGCGATGGCTCTTCGATTCAATAAAACCAAGAGTAATATTAAAAAACCAATCATTAAACAACGACTAGTTGAAGAGATACGACGTGAAAACCTTGACATTCTTTCTGCTTTGGGATATACAATTAACAATGGACGATATTTTAGAAATAATGGAAACACCGTACAATGAAGACCGCATAGTGAAATTGGATTATTTTTCCTATCAACCGTTTTCGGTTAGCGCACTATCGAATAATGATGAGATACGAATATGTATTCAACAGCAAGATGTTTACACCCTTCCATGTGATTCCTATCTCTTGATAGATGGAGAACTCTCGGGAGTTCCTGCCGGCTCAGATGTACAATTGGTTAACAATTGGCTAGCTCACTGCTTCACTGAAATAAGATATTTATTGAACTCAGTAGAAATAGATAGATCGCGTATGCCTGGGATAATGTCTACAATAAAAGGATACGTCACTTTTTCACCGAATGATCATACACGGTTTGAAAATGCTGGCTGGAGTGTTGTAACTGCAAATACGAGTATGAAATTCGAAGTATGCATACCTCTAAGGTTATTATTAGGATTTGCCGAGGATCATAAAAAAGTCATCGTTAATTGTCGTCAAGACTTAATATTGCAACGGAGTGGTACAGATTTAAACTGTATTTACTCGACAAATGAAAATTTATCAAGTTGTAAAATTATTTTGAGCAAAGTTATATGGAAAGTTCCACATGTAAGTGTGTCGGATGCCATGCGGTTAGACATGCTCAAAATCAAGGAAACCTCAACACCACTTCAAATAGCATTTCGAAGTTGGGTTCTATATGAAAATCCCGGCCTACCAAATAGTAAAAGACAAGCCTGGACTGTGAAAACTTCATAGCAGACTGAGAGCCCGAGATTTGTTGTTGTAGCTTTTCAAGTGGATAGAAAAACCAAAATAAACAAAGATAGTAGTAGATTTGACCATTGTTCGTTATCATCTCTAAAAGTATACTTGAA